AGCTAAACTATTTACACCCCTACATGGGAAGATGATATTCATAATTCTTAAAAATTGCATCACTATCAGTATAGATAGAAGGAATAAACATAGACAGAAGGTATGGGTATAAGGTGTATTTGAGGGAATGATATAAAAATAAGGGATGAGAAAATGGAGTAAAATGAGTGAAGAAGGAAGGGAGAGAAAGAATGGGGCAAATTATCTCACATGAAGAGGTGAGAAAGATCTATTACAGTGGAAGGGAAGATGGATGGTGGAGAGGGGGGCAATGGGCATTGCTGGAACCTTACTCTCATCAGTATTGGCTCAAAGAGGGAATAATATACATAATTAGATAAATATAGAACTCCATCTTACTGACAGGGAAGTGGGAAGGGAGGGGATTAAATAAAGGGGGTGGGGACTGACAGAAGGGAAGGCAGATCAGGGGAGCTGGTACACAGAAGCAAAACATTGGTGATGTGGGACAGGGTGAAAGGAGAGAGATGAGAAACAGGAAGAAGAATAGGATGGAGGGAAATACACAGGTCATAATCATAATAGTGAATGTGAATTGGATGAACTCTCCCATAAAATGAAAGTGGATAGAAGAGTGGATCAAAAAAAATATGTTGCTTACAAGAAACACACTTGAAGCAGAGAGACACACACAGAGTAAAGGAAAACCTGGAAAGACTCGTATGAACTGATGCAAAATGAAATGAGCAGAACCAGGAAAACATTGTACCCAGCATCAAGAACATCATGTGATGATCAGCTACGAATGACTCAGTTTTTCTCAGCAATGATCCAAGGCAAGTACAAAGGACTCATGAAGAAAGATACTATCCACATTCAGATAAAGAACTGATGGAGTCTGAATGCAGATTGAAGCATATTTTTTTTCACTTACTTTATTCTTTCTTGTGCTTTATTTTTTACTTTTGATCTATTTTGTCTTCCACAACCATGATGAATATGGAAATATATTTTACATGATAGCATATGTATAAACTATATTAAACTACCTACCATTTTCAGAAGAGGGGAGGGGAGGGAGAGAGAAAAATTTGGAACTCAAAATCTTATAAAAATGAATGCTAAAAATTTTCTTGATTTGCAATTGTGGGAAAGAATAAAATACTATTTAAGGAAAAAACAATTCCTTTTTCTTGAGTTGCCTTCACACTAAGGAGTCTGGCAAAGATATATCCTTTATGTTTTGAGGAATTTGAAATCAGAGAACACAGTCATACATTTTCTTGATTTCTTTCAGTGGTTCTGGAGCACCTATCTTAAGGGGTAGTAGGATGGCTCAGAGCCCTGGGAGCATTGAATCTTCAGGTTACTTCTTCCACAGAGAAAGCACAGCTTTAAAATAAGACCTACAAAAATGGGTATATCTACTTAACCCCATAATTCCCTTCTGGCTCACAACCTTAGCGTCATCTCGGATTCCTCACTATTTCTCACCCAGTTGCCCCGCCCCACCCCCATCCCTGCCTGCTGTGCCCCATATTGAAACAGTTGCCAAGGCCTGTCAGTTTCACCTCTGCAACATCTCTCCAAAATGCCCTCTTTTCTCCTCTGACATTGCCACCGCTCTGGTGAAAGCCCTCATCACCTCACACCTTGATTACTATAACAGCTGTTGGTGGGTCTGCCTGCCTCAAGCCTCTTCCCACTCCATTCCATCCACCATTCAGCCACCAAAGTGATTTTCCTACAGTGTGAGTCTGATCATGTAATACCCTCCCCGCAATAAATTCTAGTGCCACCCTATTACCTCCAAGATCTAATACAAAATGCTCTGTTTGGCATCAAAGCCCTTTACAATCTAGTCCCCTCCTACATTTTCAGTATTCCTACACCTTACTCCTCCATACATACTCTTTGATCAAGTGACACTAACCTCCTGGCTGTTCCATGAACAAGACCATTTTGTTCTATCTCTCTGCTCTGGACATTCTCTTTGGCTTTCCCCCATGTCTGGAATGCTCTACCTCCTCTTTTCTGACTACTGATCTCCTTGGCTTCCATTAAGTCCCAACTAATATCCTGCCTTCTACAGATAACCTTCTCCAACCCCTCTTAGTTCCAGTGCCTTCCCTCTCTTAATTAGTCCCTATTTATCCTGTCTATAGCTTGCTTTGTATGTAATTGTTTTAATATTGTCTCTCTCATTATATTGTAAACTTCTTAAGGGTGGAGACTGTCTTTTTTTTGCCTCTTTTTTTTTATCCTCAGCACTTAAGTACATGCCAGGCACCGTGCTAATAAATGTTTATTGATCGACTGAAGCATAAATGTGTTTTCCAGAGGCTAAAATCTTAATTTATAAACAACTAAAAAAAATAAAATATATGTTTTACATTCTTACAATCTTAAATTTCACCTCTCACAGGGGAACTAAGAAATACCCCATGAAGGCAGAGAAGCTTTTTGGGCCTTCAGGATAAAAGAATCCTGGAGAATCAAATTAAAAAAAAAAACTAGTTGAAATAATTAACAACTTCAGCAAAGTTGCAGGATATAAAGTAAATCTATGTAAATTATCAGCTTTTCTTTATATTGCCAACAAAGTCCAGTAGGAAGAGATAGAAAGAGAAATTCCATTTAAAATTACTGCAGACAATATAAAATACATAGGAGTTTATCTGTTAATACAAATCCAGGAACTATATGAACCCAATTGCAAAACACTTTTCACACAAATAAATTCAGATTTAAACAACTGGAGAAATATTAATTGCTTATGGGTATGCTGAGCCAATATAATAAAAATGACAATTCAACCTAAGTTAATTTACTTATTCAGTGCCATACCAAACTACCAAAGAATTATTTTATAGGTCTAGAAAAAATAATAACAAAATCATCTGGAAGAACAAAAGGTCAAGAATATCAAGGGAATTCATGAAAAAATTATGAAGGAAGGTGCCCTAGCAGTACCAGATTTTGAATTGTATTGCAGAGCAGAAATCATCAAAACAATCTAGTATTGGCTAAGAAATAGAGCAGCAGATCAGTGGAATAGATTAGATTCACAATACATAGTAGAAAATGATCATCTTAATTAAATGTTTGATAAACCCAAAGATCCAAACTTTTGGGACAAAAGCTAACCATTTGACAAAAATTACTAGGAAAATGGGACAGTACTTGGTAGAAACTAGACACAGACTAATATCTCACACTGTATGCTAAGATAAGGTCAAAATGGGTACATAATTTAGACATAAAGGGTGAAATCATAAGCAAATTAAAGGAGCATGGAAAAATTTAACTGTCAGATCTATAAATAAATGAAGAATTTATGGCCATACAGGAAGTAGAGAGGATCACAGAAGGTAAATTGGATAATTTTGATTACAAGACATTAATAAGTTTTTGCACAAACAAAACCAATGTAATCAAAATTAAAAGGAAAGTAGAAACTGAGAAAATTGTTTAGCAAGTTTCTCTGACAAAGGCCTCACTTAAGAGCTGTTCCCCAATTGATAAATAGTCAAATGATATGAATAGGTAGGTTTCAGAAGAAGAAATCAAAGCTATCAATACTCACATTTTAAAAATGCACTGAATCAGTATTATTTAGAGAAATGAAAATTAAAACAACTCTGAGGTACCATCTCACACCTATCAGATTAAATGACATGACAGAAAAAGAAAATGGCAAATGCTGGGAGGGATGTGGAAAAATTGAGACATTAATGCAATGGAGTTGTGGACTGGTTCAGTCATTTGGAAAACAATTTGGAATTGTACCCAAAGGGCTATAAAACTGTGTGTACCTTTTGACCCAGCAATATCAATACTAAGTCTGTATCTCAAAGACATTAAAGAAAAGGGAAAAGGATCCATATATACAAAAATATTTATAGCAGCTCTTTTTTTGTGGTGATAAAAATTGGAAACTGAGAGGATGCCTATCAATTGGGGAATGTCTGAGCAAGTTGTGGTATATGATTGTTATGGATTACTCTTGTGCTATAAGAAATGACAAGCAGAATGGTTTCAGAAAAAAACCTGGGAACACTTCAATGGACTGATACAAGGTGAAGTGAGCAGTATCAGGATAACATTGTATACAGTAACAACAGTATTGTAACAGTGATCAACTGTGAAAAACTTAGATACTCTGAACAGTACAATGATCCAAGACAATTCCAAAGGACCTGTGATGAAAAATGCTACTGTGGAAAGAATGCTTTATTGTTATATTTAATATATTATTATTTATTATATTGTTTGGAAAACTCATTCATTATCATACCATTTAAATCTAACTTTAGATTGTTTGCACCCAGAATGTTATCTTGACCCCAGTAATTCTCTAACATGCTGGAGATGGTTACAAGTAATTTTGGTTTCCTTCAAGTCCTGAATTCATTCCAAACATTCATGTAATTCATGTATGACTCACATGTGATACCTTTGTCAGATGATTTGTGTGGGACTTGTCTACTGAAACCTTTGACAAGATCCTTCCAGAATGTGGAGGTGGGAGTTCTCTCCTTTACCAAATAACCTAATAAATTTCTTCTTAGAACTTTTTTCAGATTTTGGGGATTGTTCTTGTGAACAACACCAACCACTTCCAGAGAGAGATCTGATGAACGCTGAGTGCAGATTGAATCATACTTTTTTTTCCCCAATTTTTTGCTTTTTATTTTATTTTTTTCAACATGGCTAATATGGAATTATGTTTCACATAATTTCACATGTGTAATTGCTGTTATGTTGCTTGCCTTCTCAATGAGTGGAGGAGAGATAGAAGGAAGGAGGAGAATTTGGAACTCAAATTAAAAAAAAAGAATGTTAAAATATTTTTAAATACTTACATTTTTAAAAACTTATAAAAATCCCAGTAATATTCAGGTGGTTGGCCCAGATTTTCCCCATCCTGAAAAAAGTCTAGAGGATTTTTGACAACTCTTCCTCTTTTCCTCTCCAAGCAGTACAATCAGATGATCAGATGCAGTGATTTATTGGGTATGAAGTACAATAGGTTTTACCTGTTCTGCCACTTTGCAGATTTCATGTCTTTTGCTGCAATCACATATGTAGGCATGCACTCTTGAAAAACCGTATTCTTTGGCTAACCTGCATGTTTCATCAAGACTTTCTTGATTAATGTCCCAGAGAACTACAATCGCTCCAAAATGGACAAATTTTAAGGCCAATAACCTTCCCAGGCCACTTCCAGCTCCTGTTGTTAGCATGATTTCACCAGCAGCTTTCTTGTTAGGTTTTGGAATGATATGGAAGATTACAGACTCTACAAAGTAATCGAGGAATTTCCCCCAAAATATGCTTATCTCTTTGAGACTTCCATGTCATTTGTTTGAAGAAAGGTGTTTCCTAATAATTAGAAAGTCAAAAGTCAGAATGTATATTAGAGTAAAAGAAGTTACAAAATGGGCATATGCAATGAATCAGGTTATTTTGATGAGTTAAACCTTTTATTTAGTTGGATCAAGAAAGCAATTTCTTGATATTACTTCCTGGAAACAGTTTGAGCTGCTAAAGATTAATTTTGCCTGTTTTTAAAATCACATAAATACTAATAATTATACCTTAATTTACACAAGACTAGGATTTATGAAGTACTTTCATCTCATTTAATTTTCATAACAACTCCAACAGGTAGGCTAGCAAGTATTATCAGCCTATTTTATAAATGAAGAATTAGAGGCTCACAGAGATAGTCAGTGTAAGGTTATGTGATTATCAGAAAGCAGTAGAACCAGGGCCTAGATTATGGGCCTTTTGCCTTTTAGTCCAGTGCTTTTTCTATTTTTTTTAAGTGCCTGTGATGATGCTGATATATGATGCTGATATAAAGGAGGTATTCTTAAACTGGCATCTATAGGCCCTCTGTGGATAGATTTCGGGAGTTCCATAAGCTGGATGGAAAAAAAAATTACATCTTTAATTCATTATAATTGAATTTCTTTGTAATTTTACATGTTTTACTCAATACATTTAAACATTAGTCTAAGAAGGATAACATTCTGGGTGCAAACACTCTAAAGTTAGATTTAAATAGATTTAAACTTTACCAGACTAACAAAGATGTCTACCACACAAGAAAGTTAAGAATTCCTGCTCTAAGACTTCTTGTCAATACATAATTTTCCAGATCTAGTAGTCTACTTTATACTTATACAACACATTAGATTCTTTTAAAAACACTTTCATAATTATTATCTCATTTGATCCTGACAAAAACCTTGCATTATGAGCATTGCAGGTATTACTTTCTATTGACATGGGATCATAGAGACAGAGCTGGGTATCCCTTAATAATAATTAGCTAATACTTATACAGGGTGTTTAAAAAATCTGAGTGTGGTTTTAAGCTATTCATGCTTTCAGCTATTAAAGCTTAAACCACACTAAGACTTTTGGGACACCCCAGATAATGCTTTAAGGTTTGCAAAAGCATTTCACCTAAGTTATCACATCCAGTTCTCATTACAGCATCATGAAGCAAATGATATTATTTCCCTCTTTGTACAAATGCAGAAACTGAGACAGAGGTCAAGGAACTTGCCTAGGGTCACATAGCTAGTAAGATTTGAAGACTTTCCTGAATCCAGCATTCTATCCATTGTGACTCCTAGCTACCATAAACTGTCTGAGACTGTTTCCTCACATGATGACAAACATTCCTTCCAGATGTATACCTGGGAGCCTATGATGGTAATCTAGTTGCACCACTTTACAGAGAGATGATGTGATTTGTCAAAGGTAGCATAAACAGTTACCTATCTAGAATCCAGGTCTTCTGAAATTGTAGTTCAATATGCTTTCCATCATACCACACTGTCTCCCTAGTAAACAGCCTAGTAAATTAGGCTCCCTAGTAGCCTAATTCTTAAAACCATTGTAAAAAAAAGAAGAAAGAAACAAATAGTAGGTTATGGCTCCCCTTCTAGAATTTACCATCCTTTGTGATAACCAGATGCTATTTGATCTGAGTAGTCCCTTACAAGCAGGCTGCATATTATGCAAAAGAAGACCCTTTATTGACTCCTTGAAAAAAAAAGGCCATTAGTCTTTTGGGGAACACCAAGAATGAAGTCAAAGGCAAATCGGATAAAAAGCTGGGTATTAGGAGCAAACACTTGGAGCTGGAAGGGACTTGAGAGGCTATGTAGCCCATTTCCCTCATTTTATAGAGGAAGAGTTGAATCCTACAGAAGTTAAATGACTTTTCCAGGATTACATAGGTAGCAATTAGCAGAGCTAGTTTTCAAACTCATATGATATGATTCCCAAGTTTTTGAATAAAACAAACATACATGATATTTCATTCTGAATGGAATTCTAGAAAAAAAGAGTTGAGGAGTAAGACTTGTTTTAGTGTTTCTCTATCCCTTACCCATAGACACTACCTTCCAGATTGCTTGGCTGTTTCAATATAGCAGAATGTAAGCTTTTTGAGGATAGAAACTTTTTTATTTTTGTTTCTGTGTGACTTATGCCTAAGTCAATGACTGCCATATAGTAGGTGCTTAGTAAATACTTATTGAATTGAATTGATATCTATTTTATACCCCATTCCTCTCCAGGCTGCACTCCTGAATTCTTCTGCCAGGTCTCAGCTCTTTGCTACATTTCAGCCCTGGAATTCACATTTTAAAAGTACAGTTATCCCTTCCACCTTGTGACTTTTCTCATCTTGGGGCTAAATAAATACATGACAGTTTGAGAAAAGAGGCCTAAGAACTGGGGGATCAATAAAGGTTTCCTGTAAGAGGTGATATTAGGATTTGTTAAATACCTACTAGATGGCAAGTACTAGGTCCAGGGGGTACAGAGACAAAAAGACCCTCTCTTCAAGGGCCTTCAATATAAGGTTGAGAAATTTGAATTTTAACATTTAGGCTGTGGACCCACTTAGTATTTTGGAGCAGGAAAGTAACCAGGAATAGCAAAAAAATAGGGGCAGAAGTGAGCAAGATATAAAATGAGTCCTAGATATATTCACTAGGTATCATGGAATTAAGTCCTTTGTTTCCTTCAAGACTTAACTTCTTTGCCACTTATTGTATGAAGTCTTTCCTGATTCCTCTAGCTACTAATACCCCTAGTCCCCTCCCCATTACTATGTATTTATTTTGTATATACTTTCACAGATATGTTTTGTCTCCCCAAATAGTCTTTAAGCACCTAGACTGTGGTGTACACCAGGGGTGGGGAACCTGGGGCCTTGAGGTCACATGTGGCCTAAATTAGAGAGTTTACTGAAAACAGACAAAGATTCCTCTGGGACAAATACATGGCAATATAATCTCTGAACAAAATAAACAGCACAGATCAGGATGGAATAATGTTGACAGTTGGTTCAATGTGGGGGAAAATACTTAGAATCATAGTGGATCTCCTGAATATGAATCAGTGCTATTGGGTTTTTTAAAAAGCAGTGAATATTTTGTGTTGTAATGTTCTGTTTGGAGAAGAACTTATCAGAATGTTGTGACCAAGTTCACTCTGTGTTCTTTAAAATAAAATTTTCAGAGAAACTCTCAACAGTCTGGAGATAAAAAATGATTAAAACGATATACAACTTGTGTTATGAAGAAAGATAAGTAGTGTTTATCCTAGATGCAGAAAGGATAAAGGGTGATGGTGACTATATTCAAGTGTGTGAATGATTATTATGAAGCACATTAGTTTTCCATCTCCATAGAGTACTGAAGAAGAAAAATGTACTTAAATCACATTGAATGAAAGCAGTCATACATGAGGAAGAAAATTTTTACTTGCAATATAGATTCACCCTGGGAAAGGCTGTCTTAGAGTCTGTAGAATCTTCTTCCTAGATCTTTAAAAACAGAAAATAGTCTATAGGCTCTGACTACCTGAAGGTAGAAGGCTTGGTTAGAGAATCTCCTGAGTGTCTTGCAAGCTCTGTGAAAATTAGGATAAAAGAGGTTTTGTCCTTGAAAGAATGAATTTTGGTGACCTAAAACGGAAAGAATTAAGTCATGTGCGATTCACTAGGAATTTTTGTCTTCATATAAAAACTTTCTGATATAATAGATGCTTAACATATTATATGTATTTCTTTCTATCTATCTGTTATCTATACTTATTAGTTCAATGAGGATTCCAGGCTTCATTTCAGAGAGACTGATCTAATCTAAGGCTACCAGATACCACTTTTATGGGATATCCTGTCGAAAGTCCTTATGCACTTTAGTTTACTATGGCAACCATTAATTGACTATGCAACAGTGTTTGGAAGCTGATTGGGTTAGTAATTAAGCATATGGATTAGTGGTTTATATCTAGTTTTATGAGATTGTTTATTCTGAAAGGAATTTTACTCTTTTTTAACCCTCACATGCCACATTTTCTCCATCTCTTTTGGTGTTTTATCATCATGTTGTTAATTTTTAAAAACTTTTTCAAAGCAGGGTTTTTTAATTAAAGCTGTCAGCTCACCACCTGGACTTCTTCACTGGATTTCTTTTCTACAAACAGCACATGCTTATAGAATTTCCAAAGATATAATGAAGGCTGTGTTCTATGGCTATTGAAAGGATTTGTTATTTGATGTGTGATTTATTAATGCTGGAAGCTGCAATGTTTTAATCTTTCCTTGTTATTGTGTTTACTAATATAAATAGATATCTTTTTTTAATTATTTTCATTTCTAATTATGTCCTTTCCTTTTTCCCTACCCAGAGAATCATTCATTATAACAAAAGAAATACTAAGAGAAAAAAAGCCATTCAGCAAAACTAACCAATCCATTAACCAAGATATGCAAATCCCACATCTATAGTCCTTTTATCTCTACGAAGGTAGGTACAATTTTTTCATCTTGCCAGTGGGGCCAAACCTAGTTATTATAATTATATAGTCTTCAGTTTCTTTTTGTTGTTAATATTGTTATGTCAACAAGCATTTACAAAGACAATATTACGTGACACTTGACACTGTGCTAAATGTTAGGGATACAAGAAAGGGCAAAGACATGGACCCTGTTTTCAAAGAGCTCACATTTGAATGGGAGAGACAAGATGCAAACAACTATGTGTATACCACATATAAACAGAGTTAATGGAAGGTAATCTCAGAGAGTAAGGCATTAGCAGCTGAGGTGGTCCCCCAGTTTTTCCTGGTTGGACAGGCCTCCTGCAGAAGGTGGGATTGGAGCTGAGATTTGAAGGAGGCCAAAGATGTAAGGATTCAGAGGTGAGGAGGCAGAATATTCCAGTCACAGGAGATAGCCAGTGAAAAGGCATAGAACTGAGAGATGGAGTATGGCATGCATGAAACAACAAGAATGCCAGGGTAGTTGGTTCAAAGAGTGCATGGAGGGAAGCAACATGTAAGAAGACTGGAGGCTTTCAGAAAAAAATTGGCAAAGAATGGGAGTAGAGGGGATAGAGAGTGAGAGTTTTTTGTTTGTTTGTTTGTTTTTAAGGATGGCTGTTTTGGGAGGCAGTGGAGGAAGAGTCAATAAAGAACCATAACTGCCTATAATAATCAAAGAATCAGTACAGAACTACAATATATTCCTCATGCTAAATTCTATGACTAATCTTGCTCCTGGCTGAAAGCAAGTAAGCAGAGAGGTGTAGCACAAACTTGGACTTAGAGCACCTTGGTTGAAGCTAATAAGTCCCTTTATTAGCTGGTATGACCCTAAGCAGGTCATTTAACCTATTTGAGCCATAGTTTCCTCATCTGTAAAACTGGAATATTATTTGCATGAACTACTTCATAGTTATTGTAAAGAAGAAGGCTCTTTTATAAGAGTTGTATGTTGTTTTTACTATGAGACAAATATGCTAGGACCCATAGATACAAACAAATATTCTTCCCTTAAAAGGAGTCATTGTTGGGAGATGGGCCTACACTGGCACTGATGCCAGTATTTATGGAGTTCCTACTCTGGATATTCTCCATTGTGATAAGTCTTGGTGGACTTCACTTTTGGAAAAAGCCGAAAGTTATTTGGAGACTGTATTAGTGAATACGGTGAGTGATTAAACTAAGTAATTTTTTTTGAGTGCTGATAAAAATTATATGGGCTTTTGAGAGTTTGCAAAATACTATATGAAATATATATACTCAAATACACACACAATATATATATATATATATTTTCCCTCATTTGCTAAGTATGGCAGGTACTATTCTATCCAAGTTTACAGATGGAGAGGGGAACAATCTCTACTCCTCACTAAGTTTGATCCCTCTGTTAGAGTTCATTGATCCTGTTCTTTACTGCTATCTCTAAGACATCATCAGTTTATTTCTCTCTTCCATTCATCCTTAATATTGCCCTCTATGCTAGCTCTTTCATATATGCCTTAAAATTTGCTCTGGTCTCCACAGTTTAAAAAAAAACTTTCCCTTGACTCTTCTATCCCCATCTAACTACTGCCATATTTTCCTTCCATACCCTTTATGGAATTGTGTATTGCCAAGAGTAATGGATTTGGAGTAAGAAAGCTAGGGCTTTAATTCCAGCATGGCTACTTCCTACCTGTGTCATTTTGACTTTAATGAAAATCAAGTGAAGGAGGATCTGAGCTTCAGAGAAAAGAGAAGTGAGGTAAGGTGATTAGATTTAATTCACAGAGCTTTGCTGATAATTGAATTGCCAAATTCCTGCTTGAGAATCAACCAGAGAAGCTTCTGTTTCCATTTGGACTCAGCAGGAAAGTGCTAATTGCAAATCAAGGCAAGTGAACATCATATTACAATAAAAGGTGAGAAATTTGCCGTATATAAAGTAAGCCCCTCTCAGAAACTCCCAGAAAATTTCTACCACCATGTAGTAAATAGATGTGGTAATCAGGCAATTAGTTTTAGCAATTAACCATGCAATTTAGCCACTCCTGCTACTACTGTTGTTTGTTCTTCCTACATGCTCCAATGGGACCAATGACATCAGCAGGGAGATGTCTTGATTTGCAAGTGAATTGCATTTAAGTGAGGCAGAGATTTGCAAAGTCATCAGCTTCATTCTCTTCTTCAGAGTCATTCAGAGTCCAGTGGCAAGACATAGGTCAGAACAACTGGTGATGGCCCCAGATACAGTAGATCTTGGCCTTTTTATGCTAAGGTCTTTCCCAGGTCTCAGTTTATCTGAGGCAACACCTATTCAGTAGTTAAAGGCTAAGTAGGTTGCTGCAGTTTGTGCTTTGTTCTGGAAGAGGACCATGACATCAGGGGGGTGATGCCATGACGTGCAAGTAAATTGGATTTAACAGCCTCTGTGAGTGAAGGATAGATAAGCATTGAAGCAAAAGATGGCCTAGTTTGCCATCTCAAAAGAACCGATATGGAAGCAGACTCATTTCTGGCTAGAATAGAAAAAATTGCTATTTATACTCACTCTGAGCCACCAAAACCCAAAAAATGAGTAAGTGAGGTTAGGGCTGGGACCCATTATTGGCTAATCAGTGAGAGCCAGAGTGATTTGGGTTTAAAGGCATAATCAAGTAGCTCCATTTGAATCCCAATGGACTTCAACAAAGCCTGGTTTTTCAGAGTTATATTTCAAGAATTCATAAATGAAAACTGCATGAGACAAAAGAGTTAATTGTCCCAGTTTAAAAAAAATGAAAGAATAAATAAATAGAGAAGAAAAAAAATCTAGCCCCCAAATGTCATCAATAAGATCTTAAAAGACCTAAGTATCTTGCTGCTAACAGGTATGGAAGAAAAGGGGAATTTTGTAGTGACTTGCAGAGAATATGCTATATTTTTGTTTCTGTCAATACTAAGGAACAGTTACGTATGTATGAAGTACAATTAGATTTCTGTTCTTGAGGAGAAAATTAAGAACTATAGGCAACTATCTTTATTCCTAATGTCATCAGGATGAATGAAGATTACTTAAAAAATTGGAAAAATAGTTGCAAGGAAGGAAAAAAAAAGCTGAAGAGATGTGGCAATCCTAATCCATGTCAGGAGGTTATAGGGTAGAAGAATGTAATGTAGAAAATAGAAAGATTGAATACTCAAGCTAAGGAATAGGTATGAGGGTCTTTCCTTAGAGGAAAGGGATAGGCCATCTCTAGAACACAAGTTTTTGATCTGGGATTTGTAAAGAGCCTTAGAGATCTGTGCATAGATTTCAGGAGATCCAAGAACTTGGAGGGGAAAAATAACATCTTTATTTTCACTAACCTCTAACTGAAATTTAGAGTTTCCTTCAATTGTGAATTAAAAGCAAGCCCAAACATTATTATGAGAAGTGATCACTCAATTTCACTATCCTGGCAAAGAGTTCATGACAAAAAAAAAAAGGTTAAGAGACCCTGCTTTCTATAGGTTCCATTAGGACAGAAGTTATTCATCAATTCATTCTGCTCACTTCACTTTTCATCAGTTCATACATATCTTTCCAGGTTCTTCTGAAGCCACTTCCTTCATTATTTCTTGTAGCACAATAGTGTTTCATAGTATTCATATGTCATAACTTGTTCAGCCATTTCCCAAAGTGAAGTGAGCAGAATGAGGAAGATAATTTACACAATAACAGCAATATTGTAATTAACTGAGAAAGACTTAATTACTCTGATTGATACGATAATCTACCTCAAGTCTAAAGGACTCATGATGAAAAATGCTATCCATTTGGTGAAGTATTAGTTTTATTAGTATTAGTTTTAGAGTACAAATGGAAGCTTATTTTTTTCTTTTTCATTCTTTCTCTCTCTCTTTTTTAGGGCATATTTCATTGTTGTCTCAAACTCAATGATCAAAAACAGAGCTCATTACCCTTCTTACTAAATCCTCTGTTTCTGATGAGGGTATCACAATTCCTCCATCACCTAGGTTCTCAACCTAGCCATCTTCAACTCTCCAATCTCATTCTTGCTAGTGGGGGAAAGGGGTGAAGGATGTTCAGTCAGTCAACCAGCAAATCACTTAACCTCTGTCTATTTCAGTTTCCTTGACTGTAAAATGGCTCTAACAATAGCACCTGCCTCACAGAATTGTTGTGAGGATCAAATGATTAGTGTTTGTAATGTGCCTATGAAAAAGCCCGCAGGGTTTTAGTGCCTTGCAAACTTCATTTTCATCAATATGGTGATAGAGGTAAAAAAAAAAAAAACATGCCAAAACAAGCAAACAAAAACAGAACAACAAACTAATATGATCTTGAGCTGCATTAGACTCATGTAATCAAAAAGAAGAGAGTTTATAGTCTTGATATTCCCTTTTCTGCTTAGTCCACATTTGTTGTATTTTGTTGAATTATGGGCACTATATTTTAGGAAGGGCTTTGAAGAGTTGGAATATCCCAGAGGAAAGTAACTTATACAATGGATAAGGAGACTTGAACCCTTTCCATAGGAGGGCTATGTGAAGGCACTGGGGATATTTATCCTAGAGAAGATAAAATATTTTTATTCTTTTTTTTTTTTTGGTTGGAGGACATAGCATTATAAAAATTTAACATTGTAAATCAGCCTCACTTTCTAAACTTCAGGTTCCTTATCAGTAAATGAGGAAATCTTGGACATGACTTAATGATCAAGGTTCCACAGCTGGTTAATGGTGGAGCCTGTGACTAGAGTCTTAATCTTCTGACTCCTTATCTAATAATCTTTCATCTCCACCATGCTGCCTTTCTGTGATAACTGCTTCTGTGTGTTTGAAGGGCTATCACATGGAAACCCTGTTAAGATAAATTATTGGCTTAGAGAAGATTCTGGGAAGATAGCAGAGTAGGTCAGAAAATTCCAAGTTCTCCAGATTTCCCCCACAAATGACAAAATAGTGCCTCAGGGTGGATGTAGCAGGTAAAAAGAAACAAGAGTTGGGTCCGAACAGTGGTCCTCCTGGGACAATCAGAGAATATCTGAAGAAAATTCCTAGGACTGAGGTTTGGTTCCTGTGAAGTGTAAACACCTTCAGGCTAGTTCCACTGAAACAGCAAGCAGTGAGCCCTTGGACTAGCTGGTTGAGGGGGGTAGCTTTGGCCCTAGCCACAGGAATTTTCACCTCTGGACAGTGTGGGCAGTTGGCCATCTGAGCAGTGGAATATTGAGGGAACCTCAGCTGATAAGGGCCACCAGGACTAGGTGTGCTACCTAGATTCAGTCCTGAGTGAGATGGAACCAGCACACACCCAATGAGTACAGAAGCAATGGGGTAGGGACTCCACTGGCTGTGGGCACTTACAGGAGGGTGGAGTTCTTGGTTTGGGTTCCAGGCCAGAGGGGAGAACTGAAGGAGGATCTGAGGCCAGAGGCACCATCCCCATACCCCAGGACTGGAGGTGATTACAATGATAAGCTGCTACAAATAAAAAATATGAGCAGGCAAAAGAGAAAGAACCTAATTATAGAATGGGAATAGAGAAGACTGAGGTATCTCTTCAGAGGAGGAAACTGGATAAAAAAGCCTCTCTTACCCCAAAGAGTAACATCAAATGGTCACTTACCCCAGAAGAATTCATAGAAGAACTTAAAAAAGACTTTAAAAATAAAATGAAAGAGATTGAGGAAAAATAAAAAAAAGAACAATTCAAGAAAAACAAAATTATGAAAAGAAAGTCAACCAAGTGGAAAAGGAGGTCCAGAATTTTAAGGAAAAAAATGACTCCTTAAAAATTAGAATGTGGCAAGGAGAAGCCAGCAAAGTAATGAGACCAAGAAATAATAAAACAAAATATAAAGAATGAAAAAATAGAATAGAATGTGAAACATTTCATAAGAAAAATAACTGATCTAGAGAACAGATCAAGAAGAAAAAACACAAGAATAATCAGACTACTTGAAAGCTATAATAAAAAAAAACTTGATACAATAATACAAGAAATATTTAAAGAAAATTGTCTTGAATCATTAGAAGAAGAGGGGAAAGTAGAAATAGAAAAAAAAGTCCATTGATTACCACCTGAAAGAGATCCTACAAGGAAAACCTACAGGAGTATCATAATCCAATTCGAAAAGCCTCAGCTCAGGGAGAAAATATTACAAGCAACAAGGAAAAAAAAAACAATTCAAATATGATGGACCCACAATTAGATTCACACAAGATCTAACAGTAGCTACAGTAAAAGACCACAGGTCTTGGAACACTACATATCAAAGAGCAAAAGAACTGGGGTTGTGGCTCAAAATATCAAACCAGCAAAGTTAAGCGTAATTCTGAATGAAAAAGAAAAAAAAGGATATTCAATGAATTGCCAGACTTTCAGGATTTTGTTGCAAAAAGACCTGAAATCAATAGAAAATTTGACATACAAGATCCAAGAGACACATAAGGTAAACATCAAAGACTAATTAAAAGGAACTCAATAAGGGCAGATTGTTACTTTTTATACAAGGGAATATAAAATGTATGTCTAAGGATTATTATTAGTAATTCGGTAGCTTAAAAGAAAGATTGGGGTAGACTTGAGTATGATGTGATTCTAAAAAGTAAAACCATTTAGGAAAAGGTAAAAAGAGTAATCATACAAATGAAGTGTGAGAGGAAGAACTGACACAGAGGAATTAGATGAGGAAGGAGTGCTGGTAGTTCTAGAACCCTACTCTCATTGGGAATGAGTTGAAGAAGGAACAATACATATATATCTAGAAGGGTATAAAAGTCTTCTAAATTCAGAAAGAAATAAAAGGATAAGGGGATAGAGATGGGGAGAGGACAAGGGAAGGATTTTTAGTGGGAACCCTACTCACATCACATCTGGGTTAAAGAGAGAAAAATATATACATTTAGAAAGGAATAAAAGTTTTCTAGATTTATAAAGAAATGAGTGTAAGGGAATAGGCTAAGGGGGGTATAGAAGGGTGTCTAGATTAACAGCAATGGGATAAAGAGGGAATAACATATATATTTGTAAGGCTATGAAAGTCTTCTAAATTCCGATGGAAACAAGAGGTGAGGGGAAAGGGTGGGGAGAGAGAGAAAAAGGGAGGGATCTTTGGAGGGGGAGGAGGTTAAGTAATAGAAGGGTAAGTTAGTTGGTAGAAGTAAAATAGAGGAGTCAGGAGGGATAAAGAAATAAGAGATACACAGAAGTATAAAATAAAATCAGGAGTACAATTAATTAGGAAAAAAAAGCAGAGGTAGCAATCATGATCTCAGACAAAGTTAAAGCTGATATAGATTTAATCAAAGGACAAAAATAGGGAAACTACACTATATGTCAGCCATATTAATCATATTGTTTTAGACTATTTAAAATAACCAGGCAGTATAAAGTTGGACTATTGCTGTGGTGTAGGAAATGATAAGTTGGTAGACTTAGAAAAATATGGAAAGACTTGGACTTATGAAGGAAGATGTTATTCACCCTCAGAGAAACAGAAGACAAACAAATATAGTATGGTCTTACACAGATACATATAAATGTATATATTTATATATGAGTATGATTATAAATATCTAAGTACATATATGTGTATGTAAGTGTATGTATGTAGGTGTATATTTATATGTATATATGTATGTTTGTGTGTATATATATGTGTGTATGCATGTGTATGTACATGTATTCCTGTGAAATTGTAACCTTCTTGGTGGAGTGAGGGGAGGAAAGGGAAAAAAAGAACAAAGTAAAAAGTACACAGCAGAGAATAAAAGAAAACTTGTAAGGAAGTAAAGAAAAGATGGACAGCTCTGAACACAATGTGTAGTCTTGTAATACAATACTTTCTTGAAATGGAAATTTATTGTTGTTATAATTTATTGCTTTCACATTCTGCTGAGCACATGACAATGCTTTTTTTCTTTTCTTATTTGTATTTAAGTTTTAGCATTTAAGTTTATAATTTTTTTCTTTTCTTATTGTGTACTTAAGTTTTAGTATTTGCTTAAAACAAATTAATAAAAAAGATTAAAAAAAGAAAATAAATAAATAATTTGCTTAGATCTAGAGAACAGAACTAGGAGCAATTGGTGGGATTTGAATAGAAGAAAATCTCAGCTTGGTTTTAGGAGAAAAAAATTTCCCAAGATTGGATCAATACAAAAGAGAAATGGACTGTCTCCAGAAAAAAGAAAGATGTTCATAATTGGAGGACTTCATATGGAGGCTGAATGACTTTTTATTGAGGATACTATGGAGGGGACACTTGCTCAGGTGCAGGTTGAACTAAATGGCCTCATAAGCTCCTTCCAGCTCTGAAATTCTGTGATTCCAAAGTATTAATTCTGAATGGGGAAGAGAGTTATGCAGCTGCCTATGGCACCAAAAAATATGGGATTTGGGGGGATATGTAATGGAGAACAGAGGCATTAAAAGAGCACTGCACCTTGGATTAGGATTTTGACCTAAAGTTTTAAATCCCATCTCTAACACTTAACTAGGTATGTGAGCATGGTCAAATCACTTAACCCCACTGAGCCTCAGTTTCCTCATTCATAAAAAAAGCATAATAATACCTACAGCACTTTAACTCACAGGGATGTTGTGAAGATTAAATGAGATGAAAATCTTAAAGTGCCATAGAAATGCCAGCCATTATTATCTATACTACTCTATTTTTTTTTTTTACAGGGAGGTAATCTAATAACGGATAGAAGGCTGGCGTCTGTGTTAGGGAGATCTGGATTTAGGTCCTGCTTTTGACACACACTGGCTGCGTGACCCTGGACAAATCACACAAATTATCAGTATTCCAGGCAACTCTCCAAGAAAGTAAGTCCTGGACGAGGAGATAAAATCAAATATTTGAATCATCCAAACTCCTCAGGGGAAAACAAAACTTAAAATCCCTCTTTTTAAAAAATCCATGTATTTTAATGATAGAAAATTTTCTGGGGGCAGGTATTTATTTTGTAATATGTCAAACTGTAAGTCTTAGAGTGAAGGCTCAAACCCATCAGTAGCCACACAGGAAATGTACTTTCCAAACTTTCCTAGGGCACATACATGTCTTTCTCCAGATCTGTATATAATAGTTGGTTCTTGTAAAGATGTATAGACACCTGTGTTCAGCACTGGAGCTTTACTTAACAAGATCATTTATGAGCATACTGCCAGAAGTCAGGGACCATGTCTTCTGCCCTTTTTTTTTAAACCTTCAAAGGATCTAGTACAAAGATTTATATACAAAATTTCATGAATACTTAATTATTTATTGATTAAGCACCAATTGCTATCAATATGAATGTAAAAATACCTGGGTTTTTGAAAGCAGGGTAGATGGAAGGGCAGTGTAGTGTTTGGGAGACAACATTGGATTGGGTGCAGGAGACCTATGTTTTGAGTTGCCCCTAGTGAACTGTGTAATCTTCACTTAACCTTTCTGAGCTCCCATTTCTTCATCTGTACAATGTGAAAGATATGCTAAATAACCTTGATATGCTAGATAACCTAAATAACCCAAATAACCTCCCTTCTAGTCTTAACAGTATGCATTAGAGCTGATTTTAAATGTAGAAAGTGCAAGTTCTTGGTATATGCAAGGTCAGACCTGGAGTTGGTAGTGCTTTGGATTCTTTTAATGTAACTCATTTGCAGAAATGAGAGCAACTATAGGATCATTTTCATTTCCATATTTTTTTTATGGATCAGCAGTGTTAATTGTAGCAAATTAAATGGAAAATTTTTTCTTTTCTTTCTTCCTCCCCCCCCCCCCCACTTAGCTCCCTGGAGAGATGTAGACCAGTGGTCTGAGGTTGCCCCAGAGCTGATTTGTTTATTCCTTTGGAGTGTGGCTTTCACTGTAGGATAATGAAAACTGCAGGGTGGTTGAACATAATGTGGAAAACAGACACTTTCAAGCACATTATGCAGTTGGAATGAAGAATTTATTCTATCTATGTACAAGTAAGCATTTATAGATATTTTTGTTTAAAGTAAAGAACAAATGAACAGAAACAGTATTAGCATGAAAACTACCAGAATGGCTTACATTGGACTAGAACAGAAGTTGCAGTCCTTCAAAAGAACACAGAAACTTAACAGATTGAAGGGCATATTGTTAACTAGGACAGTAAAAAACTGTACAGTGCAAGCAACACCTTACAATAAAATATGATCAATGAGGCAGTCTTTCCAAAGGAAAGCTGGG